GGTCAGAACTTGTGACTTGCGTGTGCCAGAGCATGAAATAGTGGCGGCGGCAGTCTTAACACCGCCCAACCCATTAACCCTTTGGGTAAGCCACGCCCGCTTGGGTCAATGAACGCGCGATCCTCTTCTTGGGCAAGCCGCCCGCAAATATCCCTTTGCTTCTGCCTTTTCATGGTCAAATACTTTTGAGTGCATGATCGTTTATGACAACCCCCCCCCCCCACCCCCCCCACCCCCCCCACCCCCAACAAACATAGTGTGGCAACCGAGAATACCGCGAGCAGACAAAGCGGCGTTGATGTCAATTTGCTTGTGTTTGTGATCGCTGAGTTCCTGTGGGTCCTTTATAACTTACTTGCTCAAAACCCAACTTTTCAACTTGGGCTTCTTATAAGGTAGTTTATTCTGAAAGTTTCAACTTTGATTTTCTTGGGGTTTGGGCCAGTAGCATAAAGTCTTGTTTTTTGGGAAGCCTGGAGCATGTCCCGCGCACGACATGCAGTGGAGGGGATGGGGGGAGAACTGCAATCCCAGCCCAAACTGTAAACCCTAGAACCCTAAACCCTATCCCCTAAACCCCAAACCCTAAACCCTAAACCCCTGACCCCTAAACCCTAAACCCTAAACCCTAAACCCTAAACCCCTTTGAGCCCTCCCCGAAGCCGAGGTCCGGCGACGAGTCTGCGCGCCACGTCCTACGCGTTGCCAGGTCGGGGAAGTCGGACGACAGGCCGGACGTGGTTTGAGGGCGCAGGGGGTTTAGGGTTTAGGGTTTGGGGTTTAGGGTTTAGGGTTTAGGGTTTATGGGTTTAGGGTTTAGGGTTTAGGGTTTAGGGTTTTGTTCCAAAGCGCCGCGGTCCCGACCCGCGCCAGGGAGTGGTGGCGGGTCGGGCCGCCTCGGTGCAGCGGATCCCACCCCAGCCACCCAAACTACCGCCTTTTTCGGGTTTAGAGCCGTCTACCCCCCACGGCCCCCCTATCAAGGGGGCTTACACCTCGAGTCTCCCCGATGGCCGGGATGGGACGTGTTGATTGCTGCTGTTGCTTGAGCCTACACTTTCCTGGATCAACAGGGAGCGGGACAATCTGTTTCACCCATACTGTGTTTAAGACACCCTCAAGCCCAATTCCGGAATCAAGCTCATTCATATGGCAGAATGGCGAGGGCCAAGCGCGGAAGGCCCGGCCACCCGCTGGCGCAAGGCCTTCTCTGGCCCAGCCTTTGACAGGACCTCCTATGCTGGGGTCGCGCGTCTTGGGCCCGACCTCCCCACCGGGGTCGCGCAAGGGCCGACGGGGGCAACTTGGTGGGGGGCAAACATGGCGGGGCGTGGCGGGGGCAACCTGGCAATATAGGAAGGGCAATTCAAGGGCAACCCCTGCGGGGGCAACCCCTGCGGGGGCAACCCCTGCGGGGGCAACCCTAGCACGGGCAACCCTGGAAGGGGCAAGGCGAGGTTTAAGGGAAAAAAACACCTTTTTTTCTCTATATTTACGTCAACCTTGGTGGGGGCAACTCTGGCGGGGTGGCGGGGGCGACTACTAATTAATGGGAAACCCTGGCAATGAAAACATAGAGAACTTTGACAGGGCCCTTCAAGCATCTGGGGCCCATATGGCACTTGAAACCCTGCTCGGCAACTGGACAAAACTTCTTCGAATAGAGAAGGACGACAAAGCCTCGCCAGCGTGCGAGGAGGACGAGGTGGTTTGGCAGGGCCGTCGCAGACAAGGTGCGCAATTCCTGAGTAGGCGACGTGAGGAGGCGTGGAGGCAACCCTGGCGGGGGCAACCCTGGCGGGGGCCATCTAGATGAAAAACGGGCAACCTAGATGAAAAACGGGCAACATGGCGGGGGCAATTCTGGTGGTGGCAACCCTGGGGCAACCTGGCGGCCCTGGTGGGGGCAACCCCGGCAGGCAGGGCAACCCTGGCAGGGGCAACCCTGGCAGGGGCAACCCGACAGAGGTGGGCAAACCTCCGAGACAAGCCTGGGCAACCCTGACGGGGGCAACCCTGGCGGGGGCAACCCTGCTGGGGCAACCCTGGCGGGGGCAACCTTGGCGGGGGCAAGGTGAGGTATAAACAAAAGAACCATATACATATATATATATACATATGTATATGTATGTGGAGTCTCAAAGGAGCGGACGTGCTAGCAGGGCCTGGTGGGGCCCTGGCGGGGGCCACTAATGGAGAACTTTGGCAAGGCTCTTCATAGAGAAGGACGACGAAGCACAGGTTCACAATTCCTGAATAGGCGGTGAGGGCAATTCCGGCAACCTGAATGGGCAAGTACGGCAACCCTGGCGGATGACACAACCCTGGCGGGGGCAACCCTGGCGGGGGCAACCCTCACGAGGCAACCCTGGTGGGGGCAACCTGGCGGGGGCGCAACAGCTTCTCCTAAGGCCCGACCTCCCCCGCCGGGGTCGCGCGTCGGGGGTTTAGGGTTAATCCATTATTACATTGTGCCCTATGGCTAGCAGGGATGCATCAGGTGTGGCAAGCTCGATCTGCTTGGCAAAGCAAGCAGATCTCGAAGCGGTAGCGTTCAGTTGTACCCGCCGCCGCCTGGCGCGGGCGGCCTATGGTTTAGGGTTTAGGGTTTAGGGTTTAGGGTTTAGGGTTTAGGGTTTAGGGTTTAGGGTTTAGGGTTTAGGGTTTAGGGTTTAGGCCTCCTTATTCCCCTTAAATGCCCCGAACCCTGAACCCTAAAATTTGCCCTAAGCCCAAGTCCTAAGCCCTAAGCCCTAAACCCTAAACCCTACTAAACCCTGAACCCTAAGCCGCTGTCAGGTTTCTGCCTGACTTCGCCATGCAGCCCACGCCCTCGATATCGCGCCCGCAGAGCGTGCCTGCGCCCACAGGCGGTTCCTCCACCCGACGCCCCACACCAAACCTATTTAGGGTTTAGGGTTTAGGGTTTAGGGTTTAGGGCTTGAGGGTTGAGGGTTCAGGGTTCACGGTTCAGGGTTGAGGGTTTAGGGCTTCCAGAAGTGCACTTCTTCTCCGTTGTTTTTCTTAGGGCGCCCTCCCTTTTTTCTAGGGTTCAGGGTTTGGATTGTAAGCCTCCCTCCTCGAAACAATCTCACGCTGAGCCCTCATCTCCTAAATTCGGGATAATATGACTTATAGTAGGGTTTAGGACTTTAAACCCGAAACCCCAAACCCTGAACCCTAAACCCTAATGGGATGTGTTGGGCCACTTTTTGATTCAGGGTTTTAAGATGCAGTCTAATGGCAGTTGCTTGGGGTGCCTTATTATACTGGTGCTTTCCTTCTGTTTTCTGTTTGTCCTTTGGGAGGGTTTAGGGTTTAGGGCTTAGAGTTTAAGGGTTAGGGGTGGACAACGTCCATTGTCATATGGCGACCCCGCCCAAAAACACTGGTCTTTACAGCGTTCTTCCCTCTTCGTACAACCCTCAACCCTACACCCTACACCCTACACCCTAAACCCTAAACCCTAAACCCTAAGCCCTAAACCCTAAACCCTAAACCCTAAACCCTACACCCTAAACTGCACGAGCATTCTTGATGTTTCTGGAGTAAGATGTGCTGTCACAAGTGTTCATGCCTTTTGTGAACATGCCCCAAAATCGTCTGAAACAAATGTAGTTTGTGAGGCCCACCCTAAACCCCAAACCCCAAACCCTAAACCCAAAACCCTAAACCCTAAACCCTAAACCCTAAACCCTAAGCCCCTGAAAGAGTGCATCGTTCAAAAGTGCTGTGCCTGCCGACACATCCGAAGATGCACGCGCACGAAACAGCCAGGCAAAATAGGGTGCGGCGAACAAGCAGACACATGGTCCGTAGAATGGTCACTTACCTTCTGTAGTAAAAGAACTCCCAAGCCCTAAACCCTAAACCCTAAACCCTAAACCCGAAACCCGAAACCCGAAACCCGAAACCCTAAACCCTAAGCCCTAAACCCTAAACCCTAAACCCTAAACCCTAAACCCTAAACCCTTGGGTTTCAATTCAGGGCCCTTGTGGCTACCCTAGGATGTAACGTTTCTGGATGAATTCTGTTTCAGATGAGGCTTGAGGCGAGTTGGTGTCTAGGGTTTAGGGTTTAGGGCCCTAAACCCTAAACCTTAGCCCAGCTCCGAACCCTCTACCTTAGATCCTCTGCTGCAGGTGTGAACTTGCTAATGTCGCTGAAGCTTCCCGGGCAAGTGTACGATGAGGGCAACTTCTTTCCCAAGGATGAAGCAGAGCCTGCAATTGGCGTTTATTTCAGGGTATAGGGTTTAGGGTTTGGGGTTTAGGGTTTGGGGTTTAGGGTTTAGGGTTTAGGTTTTCCAGCTCCTTTGTTAGGATTCAGGGTTTGAGGTTTTAGAGTTGTGCGCTTAGGTCTCGGGGGTTTTAGGGTTTCAGGGCTTAGGGACTTAGGCTCTCAGGGTTTCGGGCAAGGTTTAGGGCAGTATCCCTCAAACCACCCTCTAGCCGCACCCTACGAGATTAGGCCCCAAGTGTAGGTCCACCCGAGACCCTGAAACCCCAAAACGCTAGGCTACCCTACACCCTAAACCCTAAGCCTAAACCCTAAACCCGAAACCCTAAACCCTAAACCCTAAACCCTAATCGAAGCTTTAAGCCCTCAGCCCGAAGCCATACCCCGTAAACCGAAGCCTGCTGAACCCAGGAATCTTCCGACGACGAGTCGCACGACTTGCCACCGTGGGATGCGGAGCTCACGAAGCGGCCCAAAAAGGCCAGCCCCCTAAACCCTAAACCCTAAACCATAAACCCTATACCCTATACCTGCTGTGAGAACTAAAGGATGTTGGTGTGCCCGTGCTGACATGGGGCATATGGAGGCTGCTGAGTTCAGGGTAACCGTCGGCTGTGAGTTTAGGGTTTAAGGTTTTAGGGCTTAGGGCTAGAACCAGGGGTTAAGGGTAGAACTCAGCAGTCGAACTTTCGCAATGCAGGGGCTTAAGAACGTTTCGGGCTTAGGGCCCTAAACCCAAAACCCTGAACCCTAAACCCTAAACCCTAAATCCTAGGTTTTAGGGCTTGGGCTCAGGCAACCGCCGTGATGGACATGAAGGAGTCCGGCATGCCTGGGAGTCGGGATTCAGGCTTAAGGAGGGACCCCTAGAAGGTAGGTTTTAGGGTGTAGGGTTTAGGTTTAGGATTAGGGTTTAGGGTTTTAGGGTTTTAGGGTTTTAGGTTTGTAGGGTTGCAGGGTTTTAGGGTTTTAGGGTTCTAGGGTTTTAGGGTTTTAGGGTTTTGGGGTTTGGGGGTTTGGGGTTTAGGTATGCGAGCATATCTCGCCACATGCTATGATTCACTTCAATCTACCATTACGGAGGTAGGGCTGGAAAGTTACTCTTGGGCGTAGGGGAGGCATCCCTGAACCCTACCCTTACACCCTAAACCCTAAACCCTAAACCCTAAACTAGACCCTAACCCCTAAACCCTAAACCCTAAACCCTAAACCCTAAACCCTAAACCCTGAACCCTGAACCCTAAACCCTAAACCCTAAACCCTAAACCCTAAACCCTAAACCCTAAACCCTAAACCCAAACCCTTTTCCCTAAACCCTTTTCCCTTTTCCCTAAACCCTAAACCCTAAACCCTAAACCCTAAACCCTAAACCCTAAACCCTATACCCTTCCCAGGAGCGCATGCGCCAGATGTTCAAGGGCACGGCGAGAAATAAGGAGCCACTTGGCCAACCTAAGCCCTGCAGCCTACACACTCCTCTCAAACAAAAGAAGGTTCCGGGTAGGTTTAGGGCTTAGGGTTTAGGGTTTAGGGTTTAGGGTTTAGGGTTTAGGGGTTAGGGTTTAGGGGTTCGGGGTTAGGGGTTAGGGGTTAAGTGTTTAGGTTTACGCCCAAATCTTGGTGGACCAGTGGTACCCTTTTGCCCCTTGCTTGGCTCAAGGTTCCCTTATAGCAGTAACCAGCCCCAAAAAAGGGTACGCACCCTTTTTATGATATGTTTGCTGGGCTACCTAGAAACCCTCCTCTCCAACAAAAGAAGGTTGTGGGTAGGGATAGTAAGGTTTAGGGAGGGCCATGTGGAGAGTTCTCTAAATTATGATCCTTTTTGGGTTACTATTATAAGGCGGCCCCTAATGTTTAGGGGACCCAAAAACCCCTATACCCTAATAAACCCTAAATCCTAAGCCCTTTCTTTTTCTCCTAGGTTACTAGGTTTCAGGGTTTAGGGTTACCTAGGACCCAGAGTAGGCCCTTGTTCCCTTTTCTTGGGAGTTTAGGCTCCCTTATGAGCCCCTTGAAGACCAAAACGCAGGGAATCTTTTCATTCCTGGGTTACTCTTGGGTCTAGTTGGGTCCTGAAGGAGCGAAGGGTTTAGGGTTTTAACCCTAAACCCTAAACCCTAGACCCTAGACCCTAGACCCTAAACCCTTAACCGTTAAACCCTAAACCCTAAACCCTAAACCCGAAACCCGAAACCCGAAACCCGAAAACCCTAACCTAAACTTTGAGGAAGGAGGTGCCTTGTGAAGACGCTTGTGGGGCTTAGGGCCTGTTCTTTTGACGTGCAGCTTCTTTTTTTTTGTCTTGGGGACTTCTCGTCTCATTGTAGCAGTTTCGCGAGCTCCAAGCCCTGAGAGCTTTAAGCCCCCGGATATGGTCACTTCTCGAAAACATGGTTCTTTTGTATAATCGAAATAACAATACTAAGGCGGCCCCTATGAGTTCTAGAACCCACCAGGGGGGCCATAATTTAGAGAACTCACCATATGAAGTCCACAGCCCTGCACCCCTAAACCGGGGCCCCTAAACCAATGAGCCCCGCCGAGTCTCTACAGAGATGGAGGCTGGTGCAGCCACCTGGCGAAGGTTTAGGGTTTAGGGTTCAGGGGGCCAGGGTTTAGGGTTTCGGGTTTCGGGTTTCGGGTTTAGGGTTTAGGGTTTAGGGTTTAGGATCTAGGGTCTAGGGTAAGGGCCGGTAAGGGGGCATGGTTGCATCCAGCCTAAAGCGCAAAGATTGCGGTGTGCTGGAGACCCGCATGGCAACCCTACCTGTAGCCCTCCCGGTGCGGGTGTCGGGTTTTGGGGTTAAGGGTTCATAGGCTGGGTCTTGGAGTACTATACTTTAATGCTTTTTTTTGGTTCTGGGTTCCTATTCTAGCTACTTATACCTAAAAAGTATATACATGTTTTTCGGGGTCTACTCCAAAGCTAAGTCCTTAGATGTCGGGTCGCATGAGCCGTGTGAGCCTGTGTCTCGGAGACCGCATGAACCCTGTACATAAGCCAGTGCACGGGTCTGGACTGAGTGAGGGTTATAGGTGCACACAAAGCCCTGAACCCGAAACCCTAAACCCTGACTCTTGTTCTTCCCCATAACATCTTGGATTCTGCGAGTCGAGCCCAGGAACACAACCTCAAAACACCCGCCCAAAGAAGAACCTCCTTTGGCCCTTCGGCCCCCGAAACATGGGTGCTCCTCCAGAACGACTCTTGGAGGGACCCCTTCTTGGTTATCCCTATGAAAAGCAGGACTTCGGAATCCCTTAACCCTAAACCCTAAACCCTAGACCCTAAACCCTCAACCCTCAACCCTAAACCCTAAACCCTAAACCCTAAACCCTAAAACGCCCTAAAGCCTGAGCCCCAATCCGCTCAGGCATGATCGCAGGCCACGACTACTTCGAGCCAGTGCTGCATTTGTGCGGGGCCGCAGTTCGGCCACCCACAGGCCTGTGTTCCCCTTTTAGGGTTTAGGGTGCAGGGGTTAGGGTTTAGGGTTTAGGGTTTAGGGTGTAGGGGTTAGGGTTTAGGGTTTAGGGTTTAGGGTTTAGGGTTTAGGGTTTAGGAGTTCAGCTACCCAAAGGCCTATGCTCCCCTGTTCTGATTCGGTAAGGTCTCTCATCATACATGTCAAATGCAAAACAAGGGCACGTGCATTTTGCCGCGTGGGCCTTGTTTCCCGGCTACTTTGGGGGGTTGGATTCTGTGATGAAGCCTACTCAGCAAAAAGTGCCCTTCTTTCATTCCCCCCAAAATTGGAGGCCTTGAACCCTTCACCTCAAGCCCCTAAATCCTAAACCCTAAACCTTAAACCCTAAACCCTAGCCCCTAAAGCTGAAGCCCTAGCCCTCAACACGAACCGTGCTAACCTAAGCCCTCCTCCCCGCTGTCCCAAAGAGTGCCTGCAAGCCCCCTGCGGGCCCTGAGCCCTACACCCTAAACCCTAAACCCTAAACCCTAAACCCTAAACCCTAAACCCTAAACCCTAAACCCTAAACCCTAAACCCTAAACCCTAAACCCTAAACCCACCAAAGGAGACCGTCGTCTATTGCTTCATCATCGCCAACGTGGTCTGGCTTGGGATTGATGCCATGGTGAACCCTGAGGTGACGTGAGGGCGTTTAGGGTTTAGGGTTTAGGGCTTAGGGTTTAGGGTTACCTCGAAGGGATGCTATATGGTCCCTTGCCTTCCTGAAAGGGTTCTGAAGTATGGGCCCTTTGGTTTTATAGGGTTTATAAGGGCGTCCCCAATGAAGGGCCAATACTAAGGGACCATGTAGCTACCAATAGCTACACTAAGATTGTAAGACTCTGAGCATACACTCCATACAGACTTTGAGGTCTAGGGTTTAGAGTTTAGGGTTTGGGGTTTGGGGTTTTATGGCCCCCCTGAACCCTCTAAACCCTACCGATTCATGGTTAGATTTCAATGTTCCCACAAGCCCGAGCCAGGATTGTGGCAGCGCACAGGGAAACCCTCCGAAAAAGGCACCTTGAACCCTAAACCCTGAACCCTGAACCCCAAACCCGAAACCCTAAACCCTAAACCCTAAACCCCAAACCCGAACCCTAAAACTAGAAGCAGGTCGGACTCTAAGTAAGGTGCAAGAGTGTTGGGGAGGCTCGCGATGGCGGAGGCATGGGGTCTCTTTTCTAAAGCTGCAGGGTGTAGGGTTTAGAAGGTTTAGAAGGTTTATAGTGGAGGCTGTTTAAGGTTTATAGGGCTTTCGGGCTTCCAGGTTTTCAACCCTCAGCCCTCAACCCTCAATCCTGAACCTGAAGCCCTCAACCCTCAACCCTAAGCCCTCAATCCTATATAAACCCCAAGCCCCCAACTCCTAAACCCTCAAAACTAGACCCCAAGCTCCAGAGTCCTAATATCCCCTAAACCCCAAACTCCCTAAACCCTCTTCGCAGGACCTGCTTATCAATGCACCTGCGTGGATCATCGTGCTCCCCGGCCTGGACGCAAAGCATCGGGAAGCGGCTTTTGGGGACTCTAAGGTTTAAGGTTTAAGTGTTAATTAGGGCCCTAAGCCCAAAGGGTTTAGGGTTTAGGGTCTGCAAGGGTTTAGAGTTGAGGGTCTTTAGGGTTTAGGGTTTAGGTTTTAGGGCTTCCCGTTTGTCGTATGATTTGCGTGTGAGGAAAAGCGTGCAGTCACAGAACCTCTCTGTTCCGCAGTTCTTACACACCCCACACCTGCATCGGAAGTCCTACACATGCATCCGCAAAACTAGTAACTAGTACCCCAAGCCCGGACCACCACGACCCCACATGCTCTTAGCATTTCGATGTTCTGGTTCCCTCGGCACGAAACCCCAAACCCCAAATCATGAAGCACAGACACGTAAGCCGGGGGGGGGGGGGGGCAAAGCCAGTGCTACCGTTGGTGGTCATGAGTAAGCAGATGAGTCGGTAGCCCTAAGCACTTAAGCCATAATCATGGAAAGAGTGATGATGGTGATACCGGGGAAATAACCAGCCCTGCCAAAACGCTGTTGACCTAATGGGCTAGACCTAACGACCCCAAACTCTAAACCCTCACGCACTCTATGGCACGGCGAGTTCTGTGGCTCACAGATTCCAGGCTTGCAGTGCACACAGATTCGAGGCGCAATGATGCCACTTCGACCACAGCTTCTGGGGGGCCATCTCGATCACAAATTCCACGATCCAGGATCACGCTTCGATCACACATTCCAGGGCCCAGGAAACCGTTGGAGGACCACATTTTAACAAACTACCTCGACCACACGTTCCCCACGGAAAGAACATATTTGCTGATTTCCAGAGTCTCCGAGCCAATCAGTCCGGTGAACAGCATTGCCAAACACTTAGGCAAAGGTTTCTTGAACTTGTTGCCTGGGACGCCCAGCAGCACCCTAATCATTACCTTACTTAGGGTTTAGGGTTCATCTCTTCTAACCTGAAACCCCTGGTTGCTGCGGATCCTAGTCTTACTATAGGTTTTAAGGTGCTCGGGAGGCCCCCCATCTCCCAGATTCAAGCCAGTGCAATCTGAGGGTGGAGAATGTGTTTTGCATCTTCTTTGTCGGCGAGCTGATCGTACGTTTCGGTGCCTCGGGGTGAAGATCAAAGCGACTCCAGTTCAGGGTTTAGGGTTTAGGGTTTAGGGTTCAGGGTTGAGGGTTCAGGGTTTAGGGTTTGGGTTTTTCTGACCTTGCAAACCGGGCCTACCAGCCGCAAGCCACTGACTGAAGCGGATCCACGCCCCTTCAAACCGCAAAAGGTACCCTTTTGTTCCTAGGTTGCTCTTGGGTCACCCCAAGGCCTCAACCGTCAACCCTCAACCCTCAACCCTCAACCCTCAACCCTAAACCCTATAGGCCCTAAACCCTAAGCCCTAAGCCCTAAACCCTAAACCCTAAACCCTAGCTTATCTAGCTGGCTTTTATCAGGGAATTAGGGATTCAGGATCCTGTGTAATCTCTAAAGTTAAAGGGTATACATATATATACATACATATGGACGCAAGCAAGGGATTAAGGTATCCTGTGTACTCCCTGGAGAATATTAGACTAGCGATTAAGGTTTCGGGTTTCGTTTAGGGTTCAGGGTTTAGAGTTTCGCGTCTACGGTTTAGGGTTTCAGCAGCCGCAGAGAATTTTCCGCCACTTAGGCGCCTACAAATCGATGTGGGATGCCGTGAGGGATGCTTGGATGTGCTTGAGGGAGGGAGGTTCATTGGGGGGTAGCTACCTAGGGAAGGTTAGGGAAGCTTAGGGAGCCTTCGGGAGTCGTGGGGAGTCTTAAGGAACCTTGGGTTACTTCTCCCCCCCTTGAATCCCCCTCCTTAAGAACCCTAGAATCTTAAATCCTAAACCCTAAACCTATGCATGTGAGGCAGCCCGTAACTTGAACGTCAACACGCCGCGAGTGCGAGCGTGAGGGGTGTTAGTCCTTGGGTTTGGCATGTTCCGGCTTATGGTTTATGGTTCAGGGTTTAGGGTTTAGCGTTTAGGGCGTTCGGGTTTCGGGTTTACGGGCTAAACCCCTGACCTGAGTTTCTTATGCAGTTGTGCACGACTCCAACAAGGCCCGCTTACCTTGCTTGTTTTATCGGGAAAATAGGGAGTGGGCTCCCCATATCACCCGATAACACCCTTTTAGGGGACTATGTAGAGAAGGTAATCCTTAATTTGCCAGTTTTGGGGTCTAAGGTTTAGCGTTTAGGGTTCAGGCTTAGGATTTAGGGTTTAGGGTTTAGGGTTCAGGGTTTGGGCACAAGTAACCTAAGCAGTTTTTCAGGACCCCTGGATTGTCATCGACTCGGTGCTTGTTCTTGGGATGATGCTCGAGACCTGGATCTTCTTCGTGCCGCTTGGCTGAGGGGCTTACATCCCAAAACCCTTGAGACCCCAAAACCCCTAAACCTGAACCCCCCCTGAACCCTATCAAGGCCCTAAGCCCTGAACCGCAAGCGCTTACTCCCCAACTCATCTGGCTTATTTTGGGTTGCAACAGGGATTTGGGTGTTTGGGGATTTAGGGTTTAGGGTTCGGGTTTAGGGTTTGGGGTGTAGGGTTTAAGGACCCTAGGTTGTTAGACCTTCAATTTAATGGAGGATCCTCCAGTTCGCGGAAGTGGACTTCACCCTCATCGACCAGTCGTCACTGCGTTTGCTCAGGCACTCGGAAGGGTCGTATGCCATGCCCCATAAGGCCTAATTCCCCAAAACCCTAAACCCTAAACCCTAAACCCTAAACCCTAAACCCTATAACCCTATAGCCCTATAGCCCTATAGCCCTATAGCCCTATAGCCCTATAGCCCTATAGCCCTATAGCCCTATAGCCCTATAGCCCTATAGCCCTAAGCCCTAAGCCCTAAACCCTAAACGTATACTAAATGTCTGGGACGCCCAGTGGCGCCTCCCCTTTTTGCAGGGGTTAGGTTCCCAAAAGGACTTTCCATTACGCAAAAACGGGCACGGCCCCCGGACTAAAAGCACCGGGTGGCGCACGCTTTCGTTTTCGAGGGGTCGGTTCGCTTCCCTTCCCCACCCTCGTCATGCAGACTACGCCGGTGTAGATGCCACATGCCCGATGACCTTGAAAAACCATGTTACCAAGAGCCCTGTTAGGGATCCAGAAAGTCGAGCCCCCACTAGTACCCTATACTACAGTTGGGTCATTCCTAGGAACCCTTGAGGGGATCATCTTTTTGGATCTTCTCAGAGGCTCTGGGGAAATGCACCTGCCAGACCACGCCAAGAGTCTTCCAAGAGAAGGGCCCAGAAGCACCGGACAGTTCGGCATGTTTCGGTGCTGAGAATGACACCGAGGCCAGAGCACGAGGTTCCAGCCACCCCCGCTGGGACGTGAATCGCACACTCCCAGATTCCGATATCGGGACAGAATTCATCCAGATGCAAAGGCTAAGCCCGTCGAAGCAGCTCGCCCCCTTTAGTCAGACATGGGTACCATGTATGTGTGTATGTATGTATGTACGTATGTATGTATGTCTGTCTGTATGTCTGTCTGTATGTATGTATGTACGTATGTATGTATGTATGTCTGCATACGAATGTATATGAATGTATGTACATGCATCTTCGATACATGACACCGCACATATGTCAATCCTTAAATTTGAAGTTTATGTATTTAGGCTTGTACAGAAACTCACTCTCAACAAGGAACGCGCCAAACCTGAGCTTTAAACTTTCACAATCGTCAACCCCCAAAACCACAAAGCCAATCCCAAAGCGCTGGCAGGGTTCTGCGCGTGTCGCGCGTGGCACGGCGACTGGGCTGGCTTCGATTACGGGCTTGGGGTTTAGGGTTTAGGGTGTAGGGTTTAGGATTAGGGTTTGCCTGTAAGCCATAGTTTCAGAGTTTTTGGTTTGGGGTTTGGATCCTTGTTGCTGTGGGCACGCATGTTATTTACCCTCAGCCCCAATGCCCAAACGCAAAGCCCTTCGTGAGCCATAAGCCCTCAGCCCCGAACCTCAACCCTAAGGATTGAAGCCTAATCAGGCCTCTCGCCCGCCCCCCCGCCCCCCCCCCCCCCCCCCCCCCCCCCCCCCCCCCCCCCCCCCCCCCCCCCCCCCAAACCTTCAACCTTAAACCCTAAACCCGAAACCCTAAACCCTAAACCCGAAACCCCAAACCCTGAACCCTAAATCCGACTAAATCCGAATCTCTTGAGGATCGTTCGCATCCTGCGCGCGCTGCCGGAGCTTCTCATCCTTGTCAAGGCGGCTGATTGGCCAAGTCCCTGTCCCTAGGGTTGAGGGTTGAGGGTTGAGAGTCGCCTTACTCGCGGGGTTCGCCCTGGGACTGGTCCACTTCCTTACAAGATGACACAACCCTAAACCCTAAAGCCTGAACCCTAAACCCTAAACCCGTAAACCCTAAACCCCGAACCTTAAACCCTGTAGATGCACATAGAACCCAACCCCTCTTCTCCCCAGGCCTGGAACCTTGATCGAAATTGAAGAATCTATGGGGGCTTGAGGGCTGCATGTTCCGTACTTGAGGTTTGCTTGGCGTAGGGTTTAGGGTTTAGGGTTTAGGGTTTAGGGTTTAGGGTTTAGGGTTTAGGGTTTAGGGTTTAGGGTTTAGGGTTTAGGGTTTAGGGTTTAGGGTTTTAGGGTTTAGGGTTTAGGGTTTAGGGTTTAGGGTTTAGGGTTTAGGGATGCATCCTGAAATCGCCGGCAAGCGGAGGCGCTGGGTGTGGCGACGCGGTCAGTGTTCTTCACCTTCTGCCACTGTCTCAGGAAGTTTCGGGTTTTGGGGGCGGGGCCTATGCTCCGACCCCTATCCCTAAACCCTAAACCCTAAACCCTAAACCCTAAACCCTAAACCCAAAGCCCTCAGCCTGACAACGTGTACCCTATTCGCCGAAGTTCTACATCACCCTCAAGGGGTTACTCGGGCAACCCCGGCTAAGATTGGGGAGCGTCAACTTGGGTTTTTTAGGGTTTGAGCTTCTTGGGGTTTCTGGGGTTGAAGGTTTAGTGTCATATGGTTGGCCTATGGGGGGTGTCTTAGAACGTGTGAATCTGACGCCCTGAGCCGAAAAACCCTAAGCACCACAAAAGCTCAACACTCCAGATCCTTGGCACCCTTAAGCCCCAACTCCTAAAACCTTAAAACTCTCCCACCCAAAAAGCCCGCAACCCTAAACCACAAAAGTTACTCAACCCCCCTCATCCTCAAATCCAGAGGATGGGCCACTCAAGGTTACCGCTGACCCCCCCCCACACCCAGAGACCTGTTTCCTGGCAGTTTATAGAGTTTTTTGGGCTCAGAGGGTTTGTGCGGCTTATAGGGTTTATGAGGTTGCAGGGTTCGTGTCTAGGGTTTATGGTTTAGGGTTTCGGCAAACGCAATGAAGGGCTGGAGGCTTGCCTCTTTGTGGGTTTAGAGTCGAACGCAATGAGGCCCATAGGCGACCACCAAAGTACAGGCAAGTACGGCCAACTTGGGAGGAGCATATGCTGGCACGGTGCCCATCAAAACATGTTGCGCTTCTTGGAATAGCTTGTCTTGGTAGCCCAGTGGTACCCTTTCCCTTTTTGAGGTTCAAGGTTACCTTGTAGAGTAACCCCCTCCCCCAAAAAATAGAAACGGTACCCTTATCATAATATGGTTACCGGGCTACCAAGTTCTGGCATGTGCTTCATGAGTGATACTGATTCTCTCGGCATTCTGATGTGCTTTTTGTTCGTCATTTAACTGACTTCGCATATTGCCTGCGAGCAAGGTACAAGCTAAACGAAGAAAGAGCAAGATTTTTCGCACTCTGAGGCTCTCAACGAAATGGGGCCCCAACTATTTGTCTCAACCCTCCATTCCCATGCCTGCGGGCGCATTACAGGGTTTGGATGTTTTAGTGTTGGCTTCAAATCATATACCTCAACCAGGAGTTGAGGTCTACACCCTAGAGCATCCGCATCCCAATCACGCCCTAAAGTGTCGAATCCGAAAACCCTCCCCCCCCCCCCCCCCCCCCACACATCTAAATCCCAAGCCCCAAGCCCCAAGCCCCAAGCCCCAAGCCCCAAGCCCCAAGCCCCAAGCCCCAAGCCCCAAGCCCCAAGCCCGAAGCCCCGCGCCCCAAGCCCCAAGCCCCAACCCGAAACCCCAAACCCTAAACCCTACAGCCGAAACCCAAACCCTAAACCCTACACTCTGAACCCTAAACCCACAACCTTTGGGTCCCGCTCTCTTTCCACCCGCCCGGTTCAGGTCTCCTGCCCAGGGCTGAGTTCGCCTTGTCTTAAAGAAGATCTTGGTGGCGAGCTTTGAGGTTGAGGTATTTGGGTTTTAGGTTCAGGGTTTTAGGTTCAGGGGTTCAGGGTTTAAGGTTCGGTTCGGGCCGTCGGGATTCAGGGTGTAGGGTTCAGGGTTTAGGGCCTACCTCGATGCCCAACCACCCCATGCGTGCTACAGTAGCAGGTTTCTCAGGTCTACGAGTCTGGTTTAGGGTTTAGGGTTGAGAGGTCCCTGGAAGTAGAGGATAGCTGAATGACCCCCTTATCATCAAAAGGCCCTGTAAGCTTTGTAATTCGCGGGATCCTGGGCGGGGGGAGGGGGCGGGGAAGGGAGGGCGAGGAGGGGAGGGGGCGGGGGGGGGGGGGGGGGGGGGGGGGGGGGGGGGGGGGGGGGGGAGGTTGGAGGGTCTGCTGTTCGGGGGTTTGTTTTGGCGTTTCGGGTTCGGGGTTTTCTAGGACTTCAAATTCTGGCTTTATATCGTACGTAAAGGTCTTGAGGAACTCAGGCTTTCGATTTTAGCTGGGAGGTCGGTGCATGAATTGCAGGGTTGCCGGCTGCTAAACCCTAAACCCTAAACCCTAAACCCTAAACCCTAAACCCTAAACCCTAAACCCTAAACCCGAAACCCTAAGCCCTAAACCCTAAACCCTAAACCCTAAACCCTAAACCCCAAACCTTCCCAGCAAGGCTGCTCGTGATCTACCTCTTCGCCCTGGCCTGCTTTCTCATTGGCAAGGAGCCTCCAGCCTCAGCTCGTGGCTTAGGGCTTTCGGGTTTTAGGGTTTAGGGTTTAGGGTTTTGGGTTTAGGGTTTAGGGTTTTTGGGCTTCCGGGCTTTAGGGTTTAGGGTTTAGGGTTAAGGGGTTCCATGGGGGTACCTACTAGGGTTTTAGGGTTCTGGGCTTCTGGGTTTTAGGGTCTTGGGGTTTTAGGGTTTTAGGGGTTGAGGTTAGGGTTTAGGGCTCGGGAGACCCCAAACCCCAAACTCTTAACCCTCAACCCTAAACCCTAAACCCGGTTCCCCTGCTGGTGACGACAATACTAAGAAGCCTCGTACACGGAATTTCAGCAGGGGACCTTCGGTGTAGAACGGCACCTAAGGAATGGGTTTAGGGTTTAGGGTTTAGGGTTTAGGGTTTAGGGTTTAGGGTTTAGGGCTTAGGGTTTAGGGTTTAGGGTTTAGGGTTTAGGGTAGCCTAAACCCTACGCCCTCTCAACCGTACAATTACAAACCAACCCCCATCAATAAACGCGCTAAACCCTAGGAACTAAACTTGGGATGCTCCCCCTTATGGACTAGCGATTATAGTAGCCCCCTACCATTATCCATATTAAGGACTATTAGTATATGGGAAAAATCCCCACCCTAAACCCTAAACCCTAAACCCTACACCCTACACCCTACACCCTAAACCCTAAACCCTAAACCCTAAACCCTAAACCCTTTTTGCTGCTGGCAGGAGACCCCTTCTGGCGAGAAGTACTTCAACACCCTGGGCCAGTCGATGCTGCCCGTTCCGCATATCCCTAGCCTTAGAGCAGCCGTCAGCTGTGAACCCTAAACGCGAACCCAAAGAATTTCCTGGTTTTCTCCCTAAACCCTAAACCCTAAACCCTAAACCCTAAACCCTAAACCCTAGACCCTAAACCCTAAACCTTAAACCCTAAAGCCCTGAAATCCTAAGCGGGATTTCGTATGTGAGTTGCGCAGGGATGACTGCTGGGTGCTTGGAGGGGGCACGGCTTTGGGATGGAATGCGATCACCCTAAGCCCTAAAGCACAACACCCTGAAATCCCAAAGCTTAAAGTCCAAGACCCTAAACCCTCAGGCCCTTAGCGTTAAAACTCTGCTTGAACCCCTTTCACCCAAAAAGACCCAAAGGCAAAACACCTCATGCGAGTCCCCCTAAAGCCGCTGTCCTTTAGCCGAGATCTTCTGGGTTGGCTTGGAAGAATCCCTACAAGCTACAACCCTAAACCTTAGAACCTAAACGCTAAACGCTAAACGCTAAACGCTAAAGGCTAAGCCCCTAAACCCTAAACCCGAAACCCGGACCCTAAACCCTAAACCCTAAACCCTAAACCCTAAACCCCATACCCTAAACCCTGAACCCTGCACTCAACTCCTTTGCAGCCCAGACCCTTAATCGGACGTAGAGAGTAAAGTCCTCCACCTCAGAGCCTCAGACTGAGGTCTAAAGGTATGTACTCAAGACTTTCGTTGCACAAGCACCCAAAGCCCCAAAGCCAAAAACCCTAAACCCTAAACCCTAAAACCCCAAAACCCGACCCGAAACAAGCAAGGGTACGCACTTCTTCCTAGTTGGGGCGACCTTGCTCCAGTGCAGAGTGATCCATATAAACCCTACACCCGAAACCCTAAACCCTAAACCCTAAACCCTGAACCCTAAACCCTAAACCCTAAACCCTAAACCCCAAACCCCAAACCCCAAACCCCAAACCCCAAACCCTAAACCAACCCGAAATCCCCCCCCCCCCCAGGTTCACGCTCTTCTTCTACGGGCTCTTCGGCTTCGAGCTTCCATTCATAGCCGAAGCCACTTTTGAGTCTTGGCAGCACTGTTGTTGAGGAGTTTAGGGTTTAGGGTTTAGGGTTTAGGGTTTGGGGTTTAGGGTTTGGGGTTTGGGGTTTGGGGTTAGGGTTTTAGGGTTTAGGGCTTCGGGCTTAGGGTTTAGGATTTAGGGTACCCTTGCTGCAAGCAGGCATCTACACAAGGGCGAGACGGCAGCCTAGACATGGGTACCCGAGACCTGAAAAATCAGCTGCTTACTTGGCTGTAAGGTATCTTCCTTTTGCTTCTTCGGGTTTAGGGTCAGGGTTTAGGGTTTATTTAGGGTTCAGGGTTTCGGGTTTAGGGTTTATAATAACTTCCAAGTAGCCTCAAAGGTTAAGCCGTTAGTTCCTCTCGGCAACTGGCCCAAGTGCCGCGATTACATAGTTCCTAAAACGGATGAGCGAGCAACACGTGTGCGTTGTTTATCTTCTGCGGGGGCTTGTTCCTTGACCCTAAGAGGCTACGGCAAGCGCGGGCTGCAGTGCTAAGCTGTAGAGGTGGAGATCCCGAAATCTCCTCAACAAACCCTAAACTGTACAGGGTGGGGCCCCCTTACTATACTAACTGTAGTTAAGGGACTTATAACCTAACTTAGGGTCCTTATAACCCAATTTAGGGCCCTTATAACTCTACTTATGACTAGGGGGCCCCACCCTGTAGGAGCCTTAATAGTTAGAACAGTGTTTGGGGGTCATTATAGTATACCTTGGCAGCCCAATCCCTGTTTTCGCCCTTCTGAAACCCGAAGCCGCCACACCCACCTAAATCCAGAGCCTAGATACCCTAACACCCCACACCCCCCCAAGCTCCACAACCCCCCCCCCCCAACCCCCCCCAAACCCTAAACCACCCTAAACCCTAAACCCTAAATCCTAAATCCCAAACCCTAAACCCCCCCCCTCACCCCGAAAAAAAAAAACTCAGAATGACAACGTTGCCTTGGGCGTGGTCTTCTGCGCCTACCTGGTCTGCGCGCCGCTGACGGCTGGGGGCCGAATCAAGGGGTGTTCACTTGAACGTTCAAGGTGCTTGTAGGGTGTACTTGGAGGTTCAGGGTTTAGGGCTTAGGGTTTAGAATTTAGGGTTTAGGGTTGAGGGGTACTTGGAGGTTCAGGGTTTTGAATTAGCGCAAGGAACTTTCTCCGCCTCCAAACAACAACAGATGTGCGGCCCATAAACCTCTGAACCCTAAACCCTCAACCCAAAATCCCGGAATCCTCAACCCTAGACACTGAATCCTACACCCTGAAGCCCCCTAAACTCGAAGTCCTCAACCCTAACCCCTAAAACCCTAAACTCTAAATCCCTAAACCCTAAACCCTAAACCCTAAACCCTAGACCCTAGACCCTAAACCCTAAACCCTAAGCCCTAAACCCTAAACCCTAAACCCTAAACCCTAAACCCTAAACCATGGCGTGACTCCCGAGATGATGAACTTGCTGGTGGCCGTGCTGGTCGAAGTGCCTTGGCTCACCCGGTCCTCCCGGAGCTTTAAGGGTTTAGGGTTTAGGGTTTAGGGTTTATAGGGTTTAAGGTTTAGGGTTTAGGGTTTAGGGTTTAGGGTTTAGGGTTTAGGGGGGGTTTAGGATTTTGGTGTAGGGTTTAAGGTTTAGGGTTTGGGGGGTTTAAAGTTTCGGGTTTAGGGTTTGGGGTAGGGTTCAGGGTCTCTCTGAACCCGAACCTGTACATGCTCGTAATGCAGTTTCACCTTCGGGGTGGTGGAGTGTCATGTGGCCCGCTAGACTCAACACTTTGGTGTTTTGGGCTGAGGCTTAGGGCTCAGGGTTTAGGGTCTAGGGCTTAGGGTGTCGGGTTAGGGTTTAATTAGGGTTTAGGGTTTAGGGCTTGGGGTTTAGGGTTGTGGTTTAGGGTTTACGGTTTGGGTTTGGGGTTGAGGGTTTAGGGTTTGAGGCACAAGGTTGAGGGTTTACAACTGCAGGTGGTGGGTGTCCTGGCGACGGCTGAGCAGGAAATGGTCAACACCAAGCCGCTGGATTGGCAGCGGCCAGTTATTTTGGGGGTTTAGGCGGTTTAGGCGGTTTGGGGGTTTAGGGTTTAGGGTTTAGGGTTTAGGGTTTAGGGTTTAGGGTTTAGGGTTTAGGGTTTAGGGTTTAGGGTTTAGGGTTTAGGGTTTTGGGTGTATGGTTTAGGGTTTAGGGACACCTGCCTTAACTACTGTTTGCTTAAGAACACCCCCACAAAATGTAAGACAATAAGCCCTCTATGACCCTTTCAAGGAAGAATGTTGCTTTCGTTTTTTTTGGGGGGATTCTCGAGCAATTCGCAGTTACGGTGTTAGGGTTTTTGGGTTTCGGGCTTGCGCTGTCTAGAGGAATTCCACTGATGCTCTGAAACCCCAAGCCCTAAAGTGCAAGCCGAGTTTGAGGTCTCTTCATGGGGCTCTAGGATCAGTGAAGCCAAACAGCCCTGAAACCCCTAAACCCAAAACCCTAAAACCTAAACCCTAAAAGGTATGAGCAGGACCAGATGACGCTCGCGCTTTCCGAGCTGGATGAGAACGGAGATGAGTACATTTCCTTGGAGGAGCTCCCTGGCACTCAAAATGGGCCCAAAGCCCAGAAAACGTACTCCCTAAACCCTAAACCCTAAACCCTAAACCCTAAACCCTAAACCCTAAACCCTAAACCCTAAACCCTAAACCCTAAACCCTAAACCCTAAACCCTAAACCCTAGGCTAATAGGTTGTAGCCCCTAGCTACAACCATAGTAGCACTTCTGCGAGCACGGAGGTTCAGGGCTTTAAGGCTTCAGGGCTCAAGGGCTTGGGATTCGTAATGTAGAGTCTAGGCTTAGGGCTCAAGGGTTTACAGGGTGGGGCCCCCTAGTTATAAGTAGAGTTATAAGGGCCCTAAATTGGGTTATAAGGACCCTAAGTTAAGTTATAAGTCCCTTAACTACAGTTAGTATAGTAAGGGGGCCCCACCCTGTAGGACCTGCCGAAGCCTTGCAAATTCAAAGGAGCCAAGAGAGCCTCCCTGCTAGGGGGTTTGGGGTAGAACCCTAAATTCCTAGAAGAGAATAGCTGAGCCCCTAAAACTCTTCCGGGGCCCCCCCAAGTGTGCGACCCGCAACCCGCAACCCGCAACCCGCAACCCGCAACCCTCAACCCTCAACCCTCAACCCTCAACCCTCAACCCTCAACCCTAAACCCTAGACCCTAGACCCTAAACCCTAAACCCTAGACCCTAAACCCTGAACACCAGGGACTAAAAAGCGGGGATCACGGCATGGCCAGCGGCTTTTTTGGGAGCTTCCTGCTGCAAACATGTCCCTGAACCGTGAGGTTTGGGGTCTCGGGGCTTAGGGGTTTAGGGCTTCAGGGGTTTAGGGTTTAGGGGTTTAGGGTTTAGGGGTTTAGGGGTTTAGGGGTTTAGGGGTTTAGGGGTTTAGGGGTTTAGGGTTTTTTTTTTTGCAAGCAGTCTGCGGACACTTCGGACGAAAGATTCGGACGAAGAAAATAGCGAATTGAATTAATGAGATTGAAAGAAAGAGCGATGGAATATCCAGCGCAGGTGTCAGTGCCTGCCTTTCCTGTAATAAGCATTCCAAATTGCCTGGAGCGGTGCCTGCTGTATGGCACACGGCGCAGGCGTTACATGTGGGTCAAAGCGTTTCCTCAGGAAACTGCCAAGTGACAAACCATGAAGTTGTTTACTCAAACGCTGCCTGGACTGTACGAAACAGCAAGAAGGCATTGCAGACAGTGATGGAACATGCTGTGCATGGCCTACATGAGAGAGAGATTTGCATCTCAGAAAAGTAACTGGTATCTTGCAGCAACTCACAACTGTCTTGAGAGCATGAAGGAACGTTGTTTTGAGAGCACCTGTCTGGCAAAAGCCAACTCAGCATAATCAGTTTCATGTAGCCACGCGCTCGGTGCCGTGGAGCGCCATTTCAAGGGCAACTGGTCCTGTTTCCATGCTCCAACATTGATTGGAACCAGCCATCCACAATCTTCAACAAAAGCCATATAGAGCTCGCAAATACTAATGCCAGCAGGACATTCAGTCCACTCTCCATTTAGGAACCCAGCCAAAACATGCAAAAACCGCGGGCACATCAGTGACGCTCCGAAGTCAACATGGCTTGTTTGCACGACAAAGGTTGCCTGAGAACCCTGCTCATCCAACGGCTCTCGTGTTGCAGCTAGCTCCAGGGCCTGGTTATCGTTCTGGTTCGTTCCAGCAGCCTCCAGGACATTCTTTTGCAGCTGGAAAATGTTGGCTGATGTGTGCTGCAAACGCCGATACTCCTGCACTGCCCGTTTATATAACTTGACTTGCAATTCAGGCCTGTCAGCATTCGACAGTTTTGCCCTCCTATCGACAGCGTCGTTGTGGAAAAAGCACCACGCCTCCAAATCATGCGACGCTGTCGTCAGCTCTTTGTGGGAATGCACATGTTTTATCACCCAGGTCGCTGGAGACTTTGTTCGCCAGCAGTTCCAAATGCGTCTCCAAACAGCCGCTTCTGCCTGATTTGACCACCAAACCTCATTCCAACCTTCAGACTGGAGTCGATGCAAACCTTGAACCACTGAAAGGTTATCGATGTAAAGGTACGCATGTGTTGCACGCTGAATGGCTGCCAGAACTGCAAACGCTTCTGCGCGATAATTCGTCTGCTCTTCAGGCACCAATCCACGGTCAACTTCAACGAACTCAAACGAACCTTGTTTGGCCCAAGTGACTGCCCATGCACTCTTAGGCAGCACGTCCAAACCATTTGTTGAACCATCAGTGAAAAGATGCACTGTTTCACGGAACATGGTTGCAAAAGCTGGCCACGGGATTTGCGCAACATGATCGTACCACTCCTGTATGGCTAAAGGCAACTTGAACAATCCTCGCTCATTTTGCAGAACAGGGCCTTGGCTCATCTCTGCGATTGGAAGACCATTGCGACAGCTGACGAGGTGGTTGCACTCAAAAAGTCTATGTCGTTGAGAGTCCCATCCTCCACAGTGCCTGCATCTTTGTTCTTGCTCATTCAAGAAATGCTTTTTGCGCTCACTAAAAATAGCCGCGCCAGACGTGAAGCTTCCAAGGACCTGTGGGGCCTGCTTGGATTCTTTGCGCAATCTTTTGGTAAGGCACCAATCAACAGCACCTATCATATGTAGCCCATCCTTTTCAGATTGAGACTGCGCAATGACCTGCAGCCACTCCTGGTGCAATCTTTCATCGATTTTAGCCCTGTCCTCAAAAGCCAACGAAAGTTCATCTTTGGCTGTCTGTACCTGAAAATCTGCAAGCGGCTGCCAACGAACCTGTCCCAAAAAATCAAAGAGATACTTTAGCGGTCCAGAAGCCTTTGGGTTGTTAATAGCCCGATTCCATCTGCGCAATGTGTTGTCTTGATCTCTGGCAACTGCCCTACGCAATGTCCTCACTCGACTCCAGAAAATGATGAAGAAAGGTTCATACTCTGTGGCTGTTCCGAACAGAGGCGCCAGATGGTGGCTTCTCTGAGACTGCTTTCCCCAGATCGCCACATTGAACTTTCCCCTGAGATTGGAAACAAAAGACTTCGAGGTAGAAGCGAAGGTAGATCCATACAAGACAGAAGGCACTACAACTCGCGTTAGAACCTGACTCTTTCTGCTGGCAGCCCACGGCATTAATCTCAGTCGATCAAGCTTGCTCAAATTGCCCTGCAACCGCTCATTCATCTTGCTTGCTGTGCATCGAAGGGTCGACGTAAAGACAACCCCCAAGTCTTGCGTAGCACTAACAACGTTGAGCGGCTCGTCCTGGAAAGAGCTTTGCCGGCAATTCTTTCTGGCACGAGCTGTCGTAGCAAGAACTTTTGTTTTGTCTGGGTTCAAAATCAGCGCCAATCCATCTGCTGCTTGCTTCATCCGGGAAAGGATAGCCACCACTGTTTGTGTCTCCGGGGTCAAGACTGTCCAATTGTCAACGAAAGAAATCATGCGGTTTGGAGTCTCTGGCGGCGCAATGAAGTTTGTAATTCCCCAGGTGACCATTATCATGATTGGCACTGCCACTGGACAACCCTCTGGAACTCCAATCTGACTGTACGTTGGCGCCCAGAGCCCTCCATGGATCTGCGGAGCTTAGAGAGCGCATGCAAGTATAAATCCGTGAATTTTGTTGGCCAACCACAACGTTCTGCCAATAAACGAATCAAGTCTCTGGGAATTGTGTTGTAAGCTTTACTGAGGTCAAATGATATCGCGGCCAACGCACTTCCCTCTTCCAAAGCTTCTTCGATCGTCGCCTGCAATTCCCACGCGGCATCTTCTGTGCTTCGGCCTGGAACACTTCCGAAGAGGTCTTTTGGGAGTGCTCCAATAATGTTCTTGAAAATTTTTTGCGCCATCGTCTTGGCCCATACTCTGTAAATTGTAGGCAGAATTGTTATTGGTCGCCCATCTTTAGGGTGCACAGGCTGTTCCACCTTCGCCAAAAGAGCAACTGATGCCTCTGCCAGAGCTGTGGGCCATTGAGTTGTATGCAACGCCTGGTTGAAAAGCGATCGTAGCATCTCAATCTCGTCCGCATGCAACAGACGCAGTTCCACATTGCTCCACCCATCCATACCTCTAGCTTTTTGAAGGGGAAGACGGCGTATGACATATTCAAGCTCATGGAACGAAATCTCTGCGTCAAAAATCTGCTGCTGTGGGATGCCCTGAGAGATCTGTCGCATCCACCTCTCCTCTGGCCGTCTCTGCGCGTTCCAGAAACTATTCCAGAAGTCCTGAACCTTTCCAGCAACGAAGCTTGAATCACAACACCAAGTTTTTGAACAGCGGATTTCTTCGTCATCTCAATAGATGCTGGCTTGTTCAGCACCACCTTATTAGACCGGACTGACACAACCTTAGCTTCTACCTTACCAAAAACCCAAGTTGCTCCAGGTCGCACAAGGTCTGGATTCGTGACTGTAAACGTAGCTGCTTCTTCCTTGCGTGCTCGACAAAGCCGAATGTCCAGCCTTTCTTCTTTTTGCAAACAATCTAATGTGCCGAAGTTGCTGTCCTTGATTGAAGCAGCATGAAGCTTGCCGCCTTTCTTCCAGTCTGCCAGGAAAGTCTGCATCTGTGTATGGCGCTTCTGTTTAGTAACTAACGCCTCCCACCTTCTCGCTTCTTGCTCCATGAGAGCAAGCGTCAGGTCCAGAAAACCCACTTCAGGAACACTCAAAGGCACATGAACGCATATATCACTATCCATCAGCCAAGTTGCGAAATCTGGCGCAAATCCCGGGGCTTTGAGAATTTTGGTCCACAAGAGAATTTGTTTGGCAGTGTCTTTTTGGCGTTGTACCAGAAAGAAAAGCTCCCGACACCAATTCAACACTTGAATCCGATGACTGAACACAATGCGATCTGAAGCCAAATCACCCTTTGACGATTGTGTCACCGGCTGCACGCGCGTATTTTGAAGATGCCCTTGTCCTCTTCCAAAGAAACGGGCGTCAAGCTGGTTCGATGTAATTCGCTGAGAAACCATGTCCAACTTATTCTCAAAAGCCTCGTTGAAACACACGAAAGCCTGGTCGATGCCTTCTTGTTGTAAAGCTTGCAAAAATCGCTGCTGCATTGCGTCATCACAGGGAGTCTGCTTAAGGCTCTCATGAAGATGTGAGAGTTGCGCCACATCCAACGGCATAGTCCACGTTGGGACCTTCGTGGGGACTGCCTTCCAGTCGAAAGTTGCTGTAAGTACAGCATGGTCAGAATAGCCCTTTGGATTTACATGGAGGCTCTGGAATGCATGCGCTGCTGCCACATTGGCTACGATGTAATCCAATCGAGTTAGCCCTCGATATGTTGGTTCAGGAGAATCAGTAACCCCCAACGCCTGTCTGCAAGCCAGATCAACAAAGCCCAGTGTCCTAGCTTTGTCCCAAGCAGGCAACGCAGCTAAGTTGCAATTAAAGTCACCCAAGACTAAGGTGGGGATGTGAAACCGAGAGGCTTGACCGAAAGCATGCGCCAGTAATTTGTCGTTTTTGGGAACAGCATCAATAATACCAGCGTGAAATCCATACACTGCAATAAGTCTGACCTGCATGTTGCCGACAGAAATGACTGTGTCTGCAATACGTGCTGTCTGAAATACCGCCACCTCCCAGTTGGATGAAAGGTTCAGCATAGGACTTCGTGAAAACACCAGTGCTCCTGAGGCCTCCACTCTCCCACCCTTGTCCACACATTTTCTCATTGCCGGCGATGGAGCTGACAGAGCAACATGGCATCTCTTCGCCCGGGCATAGCGTAGAACACGTTCCTGTGTAAGTCTTGTAGCTGCCGTCTCAGTCCATACAATGCAATCTGCGTCAAAGAGCGCATCATCCAGATGTTTGCTTGCCGAAACTATATTCTGCAATTTGACTGTCCAAGGCCCTGGATTACTAGCCTGGCCCACACATATACCATTCAAAAAGTTGAAATCCTCACAAAGAATTCGCAGAAAATATAACCCATAGCTGATTGAAGAGACTGGCTTCAAGCAACCAAAATATCGTTTGCTCTTCTTTCTCTCGTCATGCCTGAAATCTTGGTGCGTGCAAATACTAAAATTAACGAAGGAGATCGGAAGCGATCTTGCCTGGGAATCTTTCAGACCACAACCACTCTGCACTGCAACAAAATACAAAAGCAATCCGGCAAAATGACCATCATTAACTTCTGTCTTGAGCAGTAGTGGCTTGGGCCCTGCTAGCTTCTGCCGACATCACGCCAGACGTGAAGCTTTTGATTCATGGTTCGGAGATGCATCTGGGGACCGCTTCGGGCACGCTAGCATGAGGCGGATATCCTTTGTCTGTGCCTCCATCGCTTGGCGAAGAGACTCTTGAAGGTCCAGCTTGGTGACCATCGTAGAGGACAAGCTTTGCATCGAGGATTCAATGCCCTGGAGCCTGTGCTCGTGCTGGAGGAAGTTCGACTGAAGTTCCATCGAAGTGGCGGCGGCTTGGCTTTCCACCTCCTCGACCCTTCTGTTCACTGTGTTGACCGCACTCTGCATCTGTGACTGCAAATCCTGCAATCTCCCATTGATCTCCTCTTTGAGGTCCGAGAAGAAATTGGTTGTCGGCGTCCGCATGACAGCATTTCCTCCCATTGTAGCGTCTTGCGCAGAGAAAGGGACTGCTGTTTGCACCGGGAGTTTTCGAGCCACCCTCTCTTGGAAATGCTTTCGGAAAGACGACGAAGCAGCAACCACCACCTCCTGTTTCCCTGTTGGCCTTTTTTGGGCCTGTTCCGTGATGAGCACCGGCTGATTGGCAAACTCGAACGTATCTGTAGGCGGAGGATCACTAGGGCCGGAACCCACCAACCACGTGGACATTGCAACCTGCTTGAGCGGCACAGCTTTCCAGTTGAGCTTTGAAAGAATCTGCTGCACCAAGGCCTTGTCTGTCTCGTTAGGGAGTGGCGTCACGAGCCACCACCTAGAAACAACGATGTCCGTGAGAATGCCATCTGGAGCCCAGTTCGGGTCGAGCTTTTTGCGTAAAAGGGAATAGTCCCCCGCTCGCGTTCTCAAGCCCAATGACTGCTTTCCTCGCACCACTCCAAGAAACTCCTGATGCAAACGAAGGGTTTTTGACGCCTTGTCGAGGTCGGTGTGGTCGAGCCAGACCACTCTGTAGTTGCCTGACGGCGCTCCGGAGTCCGCATCCTTGGGTGTGAAGAAGATTCCTGCCTTGCCTGACATAGCCAGGAAAATTTCCAAGTTGGCTGCATGGATTTTGATGAAGGCATGCCACGATGTAGCATGTTCAGGAGAAGATTCGCGTCTACCCTGGAAGAACTTGCGACTCCATGATGCCACTGTAGCCTTTTGAAGACCATCTATGGCTGCCCACACATACTTCATAGGATTCTTGGCCGCTTGCGTCCAATCCTGTACATACTCTTTTCGCAGCTCAACGGAAAGGATAGCCACGTCATTGACCTGAATGTTGATGGAGTGCTTGGGCGCTGCCACCACCACTTGTCGACTACCAAAGTCTATGAGAAAGCCCCTCAGGAGGACTTTGTTGTTCTCGGTGAGCGCAGGGAACGTGATCTGTCGGCAACTTAGAGATCCAACTGCCGGCTGGACAGTGCCAACCATGACCGCCCCAAGCTCATCTTCTGACAGCAAAGATTCCACTGCCGCCATGGACTCAATCTCCTCCTGATCCACCATTGCAACACCTTTGGCCTCCGCTGTGAGATGCTGCAATATCGGCAAGGATTCTCCATCCACATCCTGGAAGTGGCCTGGGACCAGCGTCACTGTCAGAGGCGAGGCCGCTGTAACTCCAGTCTCGGACTTGGATGAGGACGAGGCAGTTGAGGTGCTCCAAGGGTCTCCATGGATCCACGGGTCCTCTTTGACCTGCTTGGATGTTGTCCTTGCTTGTTTTAGTTCTTGCGGCAGAACCATTCGCACTCGGTTGCCAGCAGCTCCCTTCAGGGCCTTCCACGGATCCAAGGAAGCATAAGCTGCTTCCACAGCTGGGTGTCCGACCACCTCAATGATTTTTGTGGCTCTTTCAGTTGCAACTTCACCCGGGACTCCCTTCTCTTGCAAGTGCGCTGCAAGTTTCTTGACCAGGCCATCCGATCTGGTTGTCGGCTTGCCTCCACCCCGCAAGCGCAAGCGAAGTCTAAGCAAGACCGGGTCATCTGAGAGGATGTAGTCTCTTGCAACGTGTCGGCCATCGATTGTGGCCCAGAGATCTTCAGGAACTTCAAGATTGAAGGACTGCAACCACTGTGGCCAAGTCATCCCCGAAGTTGGCGGTGGCAACGGGTGGAACTTGCAATCCAGGACCGAAACATATCCTGAGAACGACTTCATGGCATTCGTTGCCATTGCATCTGAGTCATGGTCGACATTAAAGGCGACTGCACAGTCCGGCACATGTTTGACAGCCGCATGCCATCCACCTGTGTAGCCTCCAGACAGGTCTGCAACCTTGAACTTGTTCACTGGCAACCGATGCCCAAGGACTTGAATGCAACCAGAAGCAGGACCATTCTTGGGCAGCTGCAATCTCCACAGCATGTCTTCTTCATTCCATTCTGGGCAGAGACTACCAAAGATCACGTACAACTGGCCTGGCTTGATGATCGTGTTCTCGGCATGCTCCACCATGATGCATTCTGTCGTGGTCCTCCACGTGCGAGTGCCACCTCCCTGTCCCAAGGCTGGAAGCTGCGGATCGACGACGAAACCTCCTGTACTATGATGCAAGCTTTGCGACGCACGCCAGTAAATCACCTTGCGCTTCGACCAAGCAGGAAATCTACATGGAGGATTCGGAACCCAGGGCGCCACTCCCTGAATAGCCTCCGGCCATATGCTTAGCATCTCCATGGCCCGATCGGTTTGCCTGGCGCCGACGCCAGTTCCGAGGCTACCCCTGGGAAGTCTCGGGCCCAAGCCTTGGGTTTAGGGGTTTAGGGGTTTAGGGGTTTAGGGGTTTAGGGGTTTAGGGGTTTAGGGGTTTAGGGGTTTAGGGGTTTAGGGGTTTAGGGGTTTAGGGGTTTAGGGGTTTAGGGGTTTAGGGTTTAGGGTTTAGGGTTAGGGTTTAGGGTTTAGGGTGTTTATCCGTGCACGCACGCTTTATCTTTAGACTTAGGGGCTTGCTCCCTATGGCGCGCTGGCATAGCTCAGTGGCCCCACCCCCCACCCGGGGCCCCACGCTGCAGCTGAGGTTCGGCAAGCTGATGGACAAGACCGGGGGGTTCCAAAACGCACGCCTTGAGAGGTATGTACAGGTTCGGAGTTTGGGTTTAGGGTTTGGGGTTTCGGGTTTGGGGTTTCGGGTTTGGGGTTTAGGGTTTCGGGTTTAGGGCTAGGGTTTAGCTGAGGTTGCAGGTGTCGGTTTGTGGAAATCTGGTCCCTGACCCTACAGCAAAGCCTGAACCATGAAGCAAGACCTGCTGATCGCACGGACGGCTAGGATTTAGTGCTCTTGTGTAGGGTTTACCTGCAGCTTCTCTTTACCTACAGCTTAGTGACAAGTACGCCAAGCTGTAGGCAGAGTGGCAGGTCTGGTTTAGGATGCAGCTGGACCCCAAACTCTAAGCCCTAGACCTGCCCTAAAACCCGAAACCCGGCTCCGGAAAGCCCTGACGGGCATGCGGCCGAAGCCCCTCCACACCCTAAACCCTACTAAACCCCAAACCCTAAAACTAGGGTTTAGGGTTTAGGGCACATGATCCCCAACCCCTCTGCCACCTCCTTCGGATGAGAGCCTGTCCAAAACAGGGCCCAAAGAAGGCTTGATGTGCCTTCTTTTGGATTGGGGGAATGGTGGGGGGGAGGGGGCCAAAAGCATTCACCTTGATGAAACCGTCAATCCAAAAGCCCTCTGCAGGAGAAATGCCCTCCTTGCGATGCGTGAATTGGGAGTCGACATACTGGCAGCTCGGAGCATCCGTAATCCTTTTTTGGGGGGCTTGCGGGTTCAGGGTTTGGGGCTTAGGGTTTGGGGTTTAGGGTTTGGGGTTTGGGGTGGGGTTTAGGGTTTGAGGGGTGTTGGGTGGGGATGGGGGCGGGGAGTGGGAGGGATGGGGTGGGTGGGTTTAGGGTGTGGATTTCTTTGGCATGTGCGACATAGGGAATGTACCACCTGCAAAAATTTTCGATCCGTTGCCATAGGAACCCTCGCGAAATGGGTACCCCATTGTCGGCAACCCCCCCCCCCCCCCAACAAAAAAACGAAGGCCGAGGTCGAGGTGTGAACATATCGGGAGGGAGGCGGGGTGTAGGCGCGACCCTTCTTTGCCATAGTTGGGTAACTTGCTTGCATGTTTATGGGGTACTTGAACTCAATAGGGAAATGGAAATCTCAACTTTTGTTAATACTCTCCAACCATGAACTAGGTCTTGTTCCCCTAGAAGTTGTGTTGTATCTTCTTTCATGAAGAACCCAACGGATGGTCAAACATATCGCTGTTGTCTTAGGGTAGTTACATGGTCCCTTACTATGGGCCCTTAGAGGCCTCTTATGTGCCCCTTATATACCCTCTGCAAATTAGGGGACCATACTTCACCTTAGATGTTGATGGTTCTAAGGGGCTTATAGGCTAGGTGTGAGGGTCTCGGGTTCAGGATTTGTGTACGGGGCTTTCGGGCTTTGGGAACTTTTGAAGAGTTTGCGGGCTTAAGGAGTTTTCCAGGCGTTTAGGAGTATTTTGGGTCTAAGGGTAGTTGCATTGTCCCTTAATATGGTCCCTTACCTTCTTTAACGGATTCTGAAGTCTGGGCCCTTGGGTTTTCTAGGGTTTATACGGGGGTAAAAAGGGGTCCCCTGTCAAGGGCCCATGCTAAGGGACCATGAGACTACCCTAAGATTGAGGTTATATAGCCCGAAACCCTTAATCCCTAAACTCTAAAACCCCTAAACCCCCAACCCTAAACCCCCCTAAGCATCGACGCCCAGGCCATCATTGAAGCGCCGGAGCTGATTTTCGGTCAGACGGGGCCTCAGATGTTTAGGGCCTTAGGGCCGTTTAGGGGTTTAGGTTTTCGAGTTTAGGGTTTAAGGCTTCAGGGTTTAGGGTTTGGGGGTTTAGGGGTTTAGGGTTTTGGGGTGTTAGGCTTTTAGGGCTTTTTAGGCTTTTAGGTTTAGGGTTTGAGGGTGGAAGGCTTTTAGGGCTTTAGGCTTTTTAGGGCTTTAGGCTTTTAGGGCGTTAGGGTTTGTTCATGGGTGCCATCCTTGAGCCGACCCTCGAAACCCTGGTGTTCAGGGTTCAGGGATAAGCCTCCAACACTTCGCACCCTTCGAGCTATGAAAAGACCCTAAAATAAGCCTTATACTAAACTCCTAAGTATACCATATACCTGCACCTGGAAGATCTTTTGCCTTAGTAAGTCCACTTAGTATCCCCTAGAAACCCCTGAACCCTAAACTCTAAACCCTGTCCCCCTCTTAGCCGCCACCAAGTTGGACTCCAAACCCAAACCCCGGCTCTCAACCTCTTGAGGGTTTAGGGTTTATGGTTCAGGGTTCAGGGTTCGGGGTTTAGGGTTTAGGGTTTAGGGTTTAGGGTTTAGGGTTTAGGGAACTGAGGGCCCATGGTAGCCTATGGTAGCCTATGATAGCTCAGGCTAGCCCATGAGAACCCAGGATAATCCGCAATGCTTGGCTTCCCTTTTCAGCTCCCTTTGTAGTACAGCACCTTACAAAACAAAAAGACACCCAAAAGGGAATCCAACAAAGTACCCAATAGTTCAACAGCCCTAAACCCTAAACCCTAAAGCCTAAACCCTAAAGGCCCTAAACCCTAAAAGCCCTAAACCCTAAATGCCCTAAACCCTAAAGGCCCTAAACCCTAAAGGCCCTAAACCCTAAAGGCCCTAAACCCTAAAGGCCCTAAACCCTAAAGGCCCTAAACCCTAAAGGCCCTAAACCCTAATCCCTAAACCCTAAACCCTAAACCCTAAACCCTAAACCCTAAACCCTAAACCCTAAACCCTAAACCCTCAACCCAAACAGGGCTCAGAGCCTGAGCTTCGCGGAGTTCACGGAGACAGCTCTTGCCCTGCGCGACGGCAACACGGCCACTGCCGCTTGTGCGCAAAGCGCCAGGGGAGGGCTGGGGCTTCGCAGGGTTTAGGGTTTAGGGTTTAGGGTTTAGGGTTTAGGGTTTAGTGTTTAGGGTTTAGGGTTTAGGGTTGAAGCTGGAGGTTGGGTTTAGGGTTTGAGGGGTTTTGCGGTACTTGACTCCCCCTCCCACCCTGCCCAAGAAATTCAATGTAGGAAAACACAGGGAGCTGCAGCCCAACAGGAAAAGCTGACCGGCTTCAGGTTGACCCCGAACACCAACTGCTCACGGGATTAGGACTTGTACCCCTGTGGTTCTGCCGGTAGAGGTTTCTCTAAGAAATATTCAACATACCCCTAGGGGATACCCCTTAAAAGAAATTAAGGGATATGGTAAAATCCTCCCAATTAGACTCCCTTTATATTATACTTTCATAGGTTAAGCGGTATGGTGAGTTATGCTTAGAGTTTCCCTGAACATACTCCTAATATGGCCCTGATATGTTTTTTGTAAAGACCTTTCAAAAGGGTCCCCAAACCCAAGATTATTGCCTCAGGGGTCCAAGCCAGAGCCCCTTGAGCTGCCAGCTTTTTCTCTGAGATTTTTTGTTGTTGCCACGACGGCAGTTCTGTAAGTTGGCATCCCTTTTTGGCCCCCCCCCCCCCCCTGCACAGCACGGCGGCCTTAAAGTACGGACCCCAATCGTAGGGACCCCCAAGTTAGAGAACTACGCCGGTAACATCACTGCTGCCCACGTTCTTGGCATGATTCTGAGCTTGTGGATGCTGCTTGTTCGTTTGCTCCCACACAAGCTGGCGTAGCAGACATACTTCACCCTAAACCCTAAACCCCAAACCCCAAACCCTCTGAGCCTCCAGCGGCACCGTAAGATGGGTCTTCTTCCTGAAAGAGAGGTGCTCATGGTCGCCACGAAATAGTCGGTATTGCTCTGTGTGGTTAGGGTTTCGGGGTTTAGGGAAGTTTAGGGTTTAGGGTGTCTCAATGAGTGGGCACGCTGGTGCTGAAAGCACCCAGGCGCGCGGCCCGACCTGCACAAGCCCACCCCCTACATAAACCCCCAAAGAACCCTAAACCCAAAACCTAAACCCTAAACCCTAAACCCTAAACCCTAAACCCTAATTGCCCTTCTAAGAGTCCCTCCCTTAGTCCCTTGAGAAGCAGAGAGGTCCGAGACATTAACCAGCTGGCCAAGCGCATGATCCAAGAGCTCCGTGGCACCATGGGACAGCTGATGCTCGGCTTTCTGAAGCCAAGTATGGCTTAGGGTTTAGGGTTTAGGGTTTAGGGTTTAGGGTTTAGGGTTTAGGGTTTAGGGTTTAGGGTTTAGGGTTTAGGGTTCTAGGTTTAGATGTGCTCGGCTTTCTCAAACCAAGTATGGCTTAGGGGCTCTGGGTTTTAGGTGTAGATTTGAGGGGTTGCATGTTGGAGACTGCCGTTAGCGGCGCAAACTGCGCACGTGTCCTTGGGCACGTACGCCATAAATGCCAGAGTGGATCTACCCGGGCTACTGGGTGCGCCCCAACGCTCCATTGAATGGCTGCCTGTCTGGGAGTTTGAGCTCAGCCCGTACAGGCGGGGCTCCCACTGGAGCCTACGCACTGGCACGAGAACCTACACGCAGCTGGTGTGGCTCAGGAACATCCTCGAGTATTTTGGCCTGACGCCACAGTGGACCCGGGAACAGGGTTTTAGGTTTAGGTCTGAGGGTTTGAGGATTTAGGGTTCTTGGTAGCCCCAGTGGTACCCTCTTGGTTCAAGGTTCCCTTATGAAGCAACCAACCCCAAAAAGGGTGCCCTTATTAGAATATGGTTACTGGGTTTTGGGGGGTTCGGGGGTTTGAAGCCAAATGCCAGAAAAAAGGCCAGAATGGCCTAGCCTGGCCGACCAACACATCGAACTACCCGAGACTCAACTCCAAACCCTGAATCCCAAACCCTAGACCCTAAACCCTAAATCCTAAACCCTAATCCTAACCCCTAGACCCTAAACCCGAAACCCTAAACTCTAAATCCCAAAACCGACCCCATGGGGCAGGACCTAGAAGTAGATCTCCTTACGTCACAGGGGTTCAGTCTCTCGAGGGTTCGGGCCTTGCTGAGTTAGGCTTCGGATTTTGCAGGGTTTAGGGTTTAGGGGCCTGTAATCCTCAGCCCTGCGTTGCCGAGCCCGAAGTCCGGAAGCACCAAGAAGACCCGAGCCACAGGGCCCCCGATCTCTTCAAAATCTTGTCTTCCCCTATTCTTCCAGTGACCTAGATATGGTGTACTTAAGGGTTCTAGCCGGGTTCTAGTAACCTTCAGTATACGTCCCCGGAAGCGCAGAGTTCTCTGCCCGAAGGTATTAGGTTTGCTTGTTGCTTGGGCGGTCTAGAGATAGGCGCAACCCTAGCACACAAGCCCCTGAGCGATGCCCCAAACCCTAAACCCTACAAATGCAAACCCTAAACCCGAAACCCGAGACCCTAGAAACCCTCTAAACCCTACAAACCCTAAACCCTAAACCCTAAACCCAACGTGGGGTTGATCTAATTTCTGGGCCCTTCCGATACCATACTAACCCCACGTGCTGAACTTTCTAAAACGTGAGCCTTCGGATGGTGCCCCAAGCTCAGGCTACGAGGATGTATAGGGCTTAGAGGAGTGTAGGGCCTAAGGGTGTATGTTCCCTTAATATGACCCCTTACCTTCTCTAAACATTTCTGAATTATAAGCCTTGATTTTATAGGTGATATAAGGGGTATATAAGGGGTCCCCACTTAAGGGCCCATATGAAGGTACTGTGTAACTGCCTTAGAGTGCATTTTTCGAAGGAAGAGGACCCAGAGTAGGTTTTTTTCGGGCTTACGTTCCCTTCTAAGTCCCTTTAAACCCACAAAAGGTGCCCTTTCTATTTCTAGGGTATCCTAGGTTACTAAACCCCAGACCCCAAACCCCAAACCCTAAACCCTAAACCCTAAACCCTAAACCCTTAACCCTTAACCCTTTACCCTTAACCCTAAACCCTAAACCCTGAACCACAATTCCTACAAAGAAACCATAAACCCTGAACGTTTTTGGTTCCTAGGTTGCTCTTGGGTCTAGCTTTCGAAGGGAGAGGGTCCCGAACCCTAAACCCTAAACCCTAAACCCTAAACACTAAACCCTGAACCCTAAACCCTAAACCCTAAACCCTAAACCCTAAACCCTAAACCCTAAACCCGAAGATGATCCCAGGAACTCGAAGATCAAAGAGAAGCCCCTTTGCCTCGACGATCTGGTGACTCTCGTAGGGTTGGGGGGGGGGTTTAGGGGGTTCAGGCCCCCCTAAACCCCCTAAACCCTCGCTGCCCTCGCTAAACCCCCGAAACTTCCCCCCCCCCCCCAAACCCCCTTAAACCGTAAACCTCAAACCCATGAGCCCTTCAACGGGTCATGCCTGAAAGCCGTACACGTGAAGGCATAAACCTTGCAATCTTCAGGAATTTTGGTGTTTGGGGGCTTGGTGGCCTTGATGAATTTGTAACTTCCGCATGAGGGGGGCTTCTGGGCATGGGGGGCCCCGAGCCCGGCGGTTTAGGGTTTAGGGTTGATGGTTTTAGGGTTTAGGGTCCTCGTTTAGGGTTTAGGGTTTAGCGTTTAGGGTGTAGGGTTTAGGGTATGTGGACCGTCCTCCTTTGAAGGTTCACGCGCAAGTTTAGAGAAGCCCCCCCCCCCCCCCCCCCCCGCAAGGAAACCACTCTCGCACAGCCTACCATTGGGTCATTGTTAGGAACCCTTAAGGGGGTCTTCTGTTTGGATCCTCCCAGGGGTGTGGGTATGGCCCACCACACCGAGGACCGGAAGCAAAGACAAAGTGAACCTGAATCGCTTTCGCGTGTCAGGCGGGGTTCAAGGCTCTTTCCAGTCTACCGATCAAAACCTACAAGCCCTGACGCCCTGTAGCAGGGTTGAATGTTTCTGGTTGAGGGGACGCTGGGTTCATGACCCCCAAATTCATGCCCCCAAACCCTGAACCCTGAACCCTGAACCCTGAACCCTAAACCCTAAACCCTAAACCCCCGCCCCGGAAACGCCTGTTCAACCTATTGACCCTTTTTAACCCACCGGCCCGAAAAATGGCCCAGTAGTAGTATAGGGTACTCTAGAAATTTCGACTTCTTGGATCCTTGCAAGAGGTCTGTGCAGGGCTACATACTTCCCTAGATCCTAAGCGTAGTTACATGGTCCCCTGAATATGGCCCCTTACCTTCTTCAAAGGGTATGTGCTGGCCCTGACCCCCCCCCTCTTAAGGGCCCATCCTAAGCGACCATGAAACGACCCTAAGATGGAGTCCTCCAGGGTTGCCTCTCCGGGCCCCCTAAATGCGCGAATTGCGGGTTCTTGTTGAGAGGAATTGGGGTTTAGGGGTTTATGGGTTTCAGGATGTTCGGTTTAGGGTAGGGGGCTTCGGATTTAGTGGTAAAGGGGTTAGGGTTGAATGGTTGAGTTTCCAGGTTTGCTTTTTGGGCCAAACCCCTAAATCACCCAATCCACCCCCCCCCCCCCTCCAAAAATTTTTAAGAAATCAATTTCGAACCCCTCAACCCTGAACCCATCAACCCCTCAACCCCTCAACTCTACCCCCCAACATCCTCAACCCCAAGCCCAAACGCGAAAACCGTAGTTCCTACACCGTAAACCCCAGACCCGAAAACCGTAGTTCCTAAACCCTAAAACCAAAACCCTAAGCCCCAAACCCCAAACCCCAAACCCCAAACCCCAAACCCCAAACCCCAAACCCTAAACCCTAAACCCTAGACTCTAAACCCTAAACCCTAAACCCTAAACCCTAACCCCTAAACCCCAAACCCTAAAAAACAGCCCTGGCTCCGCATCCCAGGGAAGCGGTGATCGCAAACGCTCTGGAGCTGACGGGAGCCGCGAAGCTGTCAATAGGTGGTAAGGGGTTTGGGGGGTTTGGGGGGTTTGGGGGGTTTAGGGTTTAGGGTTTAGGGTTTAGGGTTTGGGGTTTAGGGTTTAGGGTTTAGGGTTCAGTTTAGAGTCTATGGGCCTAGGGCTGTTGAGGGTTTCAGGGCTCAGGTTCTGAGAGCTCAGGCTTGGAAATTGTATTCGATGCAAGCGACGCTTCAACTATCGGAGAAGAGAACCGAGGCAGGGCTTAGGGTGTAAGGTGAGGGGTTTAGGGTGTAGGATTTGGGTTTAGGGTGTAGGGTTTAGGGTTTAGGGTTTAGGGTTGAGGGTTTAGGGTTTAGGGTTGAGGGTTAGGGTTCAAGCAGTCAGGGTTTTGGTTTTGGGGTTTTGGGCTTGGGTTTAGGGTCAAATCAGAGTTTAGGGTTTCAGTGGCCACTTATTGGCCGTTTGTGCCCAGCTCCTCAGCCCATACACTCTAAACCCTAAACCCTAAACCCTAAACCCTAAACCCTAAACCCTAAACCCTAAACCCTAAACTTCCTGAGCTGCCACAGCACACCAGCCTCAGGATTCCGGAGGCTCCTGACAAGCGCGTCATTCTCGATCTTCCTCTTCTATTTGGGGGTTTACGAAAACAGGGGACCCCTAAAATACACCCCCAAATAGTAGGATTCCCTTATAATAAGGACCGCAATAAGGTACCCCTAATATCGCAAACCCCCATTTGGGTTTAGAGTTTATGGTTTGGGGTTTGGGTTTTGGGGAGGTTGGCATGGGGTGCTTTGTTGCCTCTGAGCCCAGCAAACCCAGAACTGGAGCTCGGTCTTGTTGCCCTAAACCCCAAACCCTAAACCCTAAACCCCAAACCTTAGACCCTAAACCCTAAACCCTAAACCGACAGGTGTGCCCAGAATGGTGAACCGGGAAAGGCCGATTCCTACCAGAGCTGTAGTGTCAGAGTTGCCAGAAGGCTGGGGCCCTCCTTTTAGTGCGCAGAAGCCGAGATTAGGGTTTAGGGTTTAGGGTTTAGGGTTTAGGGTTTAGGGTTCTTAAAACCTAAACCCCATAGCCTTTTTGTTAAAGGCTTCCGACCCTTGCCGGTAAGCAAGTTGGTAAATTTGCTAGGGTCAGAGGAAGCCGCAAACCTCATTAGTACAAGGCATCTACCCCTACTTCCCCAAGAGGAGACTTTTCAGACTGTCCTTTCGCGAGAAAACCCCAACCCACGCCCTAAACCCAAAACCCTACACCCTAAACCCTAAACCCTAAACACTAAAAACTACACCCTAAACCCTAAACCCTAAACCCCAAATCCTAAACCCTAAACCCTAAACCTTTTCTCCTTTCCTTTTTTCACAAGAGCCCAAACCTTCGCATGGAACAGTTACGTCCGACTTTGGGCCCCCTTCACACGCCGAAGGCGCTGAGGGGCACATGCACCCTGAGCTTTCCTCATCCGTGGGTTTAGGGTTTAGGGTTATGTACCCTATACCCTAAACCCTAAACCCTAAACCCTAAACCCTAAACCCTAGGAGCCCACAGAACCCACAGAACCCACGGACAAAAAGTCGTAAAAGGCGAGCTCGGGTGTGGGGACCTTTCTTTCTTTTTTGAGCCTTGGGCGACTCTGGAGGTCGATCCTTCCGTTTAGGGTTTAGGGTTTAGGGTTTAGGGTTTAGGGTTTAGGGTTTAGGGTTTAGGGTTTAGGGTTTAGGGTTTAGGGTTTAGGGTTTAGGGTTTAGGGTTTAGGGTATAGGGTTCCGAAGCTTTTAAGGTCCTGAAGCCAAGCCTTCAGTATTTCTTGAGGTTTAGGCGTTCGGGCTTCGGGAAGTTAGCCTCAAAGGCTTCATGGTCACTTCTCTGAAATGTTTTTTTTGGTTTAGGGTTTAGGGCTTAGGGCTTAGGGCTTAGGGCTTAGGGTTTAGGGTTTAGGGTTTAGGGTTTTTTGGTTTAGGGTTTAGGGTTCCCTTTTGGGGTCCTTATGGTACGGCGGCCCCTCTTAAACTAGGGTACTCAAGAAGGGAGAATGATGCAGAGAACTGACTTCGTTTGAGGTTTAGGATCTTAGGGAATTGAATCTTTGGGTCTTCGGGTTTAGATTTCAGAGTTGAGGTTTTTGGGGGTTCGGGGCCTTTAGTAATGTAAGTTGGGATGTCCCCCGTGTACTAGCAGTCCTTACTAGGGAGCATCGTAGGGGATACTATAATCTCTATTAAGTTTTGGTATAAGGGGGAACCTTCCAAAATGTATCAATGCTGGGTTTACTTCGGGTTGAGCAGCGCTGAGTGCTGAGTTGTCGTCAGTAGGTTCTCTTATTTTGCAGAGCACTTGGTAGCCGAGTGGTACCTTTTGCCCCTTTTGGGTTTCAAATTGGGTTGTAAAGTAACCAGCCCCCAAAAAGGGTACCCTTATCATCATAGGATTATTGGGCTACCGGGTAGAACTAATTCCTACTATTTGCTTAAGAACCCCGCCCTCCACAAAAAAAAAACAACAAAAACAACAAATTAAACATGTCCTTTCCTTATAAAGGTAATGAATATATGTATGATGTATATGTAAATATGTGTATACATATATATATATATATATGTATGTATGTATGTGTGTGTGTGTGTGTTTATGTGTGGGGGGGGGGGTTCTTAGGCAAAGAGTAGTTTCAGATGCGTGGGTTCCCCTTCATGGCATTTATGTGCTGCAGCATCCTGTCGCAGATCTCCTCTATGAGGCCCGCACCAGGTACCCCGAACCTCCGATCGGCGTTTAGGGTTTAGGGTTTAGGGTTTAGGGTTTAGGGTTTAGGGCTTAGGGCTTAGGGCTTAGGGTGTAGGGTTTAGGGTTTAGGGTTTAGGGGCCTGAGGGCTTAGGGGACTTAGGGTTGAGGTTTTAGGGGACGGACAGGGGGTTCAATTTTCGTCGGCCTCCGCAGTGCCCATGACACAATCTTGACTGAATTTAAATGTTCGTACCTGTGCCCTGCTTTGTACATTATTCGCGGCACGTTTTGTGCCACGATGCTGGAATTTATGTGCATGCTCAGGAGCCCGGACTTGAAAGGGGACTAGAGGAGGGACCCTTGTAAGGGACCTCAGGGTTATTGGCGCTGCTTGGGTATATTGGGACTATATAAGGTATATATATATATATATATGTATACACATAGATATGGGTATGTATGGGTTATATAGGGGAACCAGATTAAGGGTCCCTTCTGGGGGTCCCTCCTTATACCCCTTAAGACTTGACATTCCCACAGACCTACTCAGGGGGGTTGAGGGTTTCGAAGCCCCTATGGCCTACAAGCCTAATCCCTAAACCCTCAACCCTAAACCCTAAGCCCTAAGCCTATAAGCCTAAACGTTGAGAAGCCCCCAAAACGCTCTCAATGTGTGCATTTGTGGCCCTTACGGGTCTAAAGACCGTAGGACGCTGTGTGCGCTGGCTTAAAGCCGCGGCGCATAACGGCAAAGAAGTCGTGGCACCTGAGGAAATGCGTACATGTTCGGGTTCATAGGTTTTTTTTTCAGTATTTGTGGGGTTGGCGCGGCGTTTTCTTTTGCTAAGGTTGGCCCGGGCTTGTTTTCCCTGGTATGGTTGGCGAATCCCGCCCCCCCCGTGGTCGCCTGGTCTTCTAGTTCTTTGGTCCCCTGGTCCAACGGTCCTCTCGTCCTCCCTCAACCCAAAGCTCTAAACCCTAAGCCTTAAAAACTAAACCCAAAGCCCTAAACGCGGGTATAGTACGTATGGTTTCGGGGGTGAGGGTTGCCATAGGTCAATCAACTCAATCGGCCCCCGAACACGGACATCTGCCCTACATCCTTGGCTCTCACATGCTAAAGCAACGCCTCTGCACATGTATGGTGTAAGGTTTAGGGTTTCTGGTTTAGGGTTTCGGGTTTAGGATCGACCTGCCGACTCGTTCTGAAGCGGGGAGGAGGGAGTTGGGTTTCGCATATGGTCTCTTACTGGGATTATCGAGTGCTCCGACTTCTTGAGTTCCCTGACAAGAGCCCCGTAACACCCTAACCCAGACCCCAGAGTCCCAAAAGTAGAATCCCCAAATAGTACCCTATAATACTACCACTACTACTACTACTACTACTACTACTACTACTACTACTACTACTACTACTACTACTACTACTACTACTACTACTACTACTACTACTACTACTACTACTACTACTACTACTACTACTACTACTACTACTACTACTACTACTACTACTACTACTACTACTACTACTACTACTACTACTACTACTACTACTACTACTACTACTACTACTACTACTACTACTACTACTACTACTACTACTACTACTACTACTACTACTACTACTACGCCCCAACCGGGTGGTTTGCCCACACACAGTGGTCAAGCATGGGTTTGGACAAGCATGCTTGAATCAGCTCTTGCCGCAGCATGTCAGCATGAACCATGTGGCACCCAACAGCCCAAAGCCTAAACCTTAAACTCCAGAAGTTCTTGGTCCTATTTCATAGCTCAGGATTTCGCAGACGACTCGTCTTGTGGCCACTACACTACTGACGCAGTCCCGTGCTTGTTGGGTCGCGCGGCCACAGGTCCGCGGTCTGCAGAGACGGACACGGCCCTGGCATACGGGAAGCGGGGCGCAGACGCTGGGCAGCTCGCTGAGGAGGCTTTCTTTCTGCCTCCGAAGCAGGTGGCCAGCGTCTGCGCCCCGCTTCCCGTATGCCAGGGCCGTGTCCGCCTCTGCAGACCGCGGACCTGTGTCAGGGCCAAACCAAAGGGACCCCCCCAAAGGACGACCACCGCCCGAACATGAACCGAAGTTCGTTTAACCCCCCCGGCCTTCGTCGAACCCCCCCCCCCCTCGAACCCTAGACTGTATGTGTATATCTATATCTACATATGTATGCATACATCTGTATATATATATATATATATATATATATTTATTTATTTATTTATTTATAGTGTATATAAAGTATTA